CTTTGCACTCAAAAGCATTGATCGAAACGCGAAATGAAATACAAATATATGGATATAAAAGTGTAATTGAATTAAATTAGGGATTAATTGTAGGCATAAGTGATGATGCAGTCAATGGTCAACACTTTCTGTGCATTCAATACATTCAATACACAACACATCACTCGCTATAAGACTAGCGTTACGTTCGCTACTTATGTGCCATACATTTGCGACTCTTGTCATACACTCGGCGTTAATGGCCTTCAATGCCATCGCAAACGCACTGTCAGTACGCCTTACGCGGCGTTCGCAGCACTCGATCGCCCCCTAAATGCCATCCAAACAGTCGGTGCTATGCTTTGGTTATCACACGTCAGTGTTGTACGCAATCCACTCAATACAAGTCGACTTCAATACACCATTCAATACAACACTACTATTTGTAAACAAAACCCAATGTTTTGATTGACTCTCATTTGAAACTCACTTTCACTTCTCAAGCATTCAATTGAGTCAACAATTGAATCGTGTATTCAATTAACGATCGGATCTGTCGTTCAATTCGTTATTTTATTTACATTTTATTTATTTTTCAATTCACGACTCAATTGTCATATTTTTATATGCATTTAATGTTACGATTATTTGACTCAAAAAATTAATTGCATAATAGATTTGCATTCAATTTATAGTCAATTGTATTCAATGTTTACACAATTAAAGATGAGAAGTAGTTTTGCGGACACTTTGGTTGGCCTCACATATGGTTTAATTGTATTGTAATTAACGGATGAATCGATTGGACAACTGGTGGCGAATGGCATTCAAACGGATAGCGATGTCTCAGTTGTTTCCTCCAAGAGTTGGTCACCGATTGAAGTGATGTCAAAGACAATGAGATCTGCAATCGTATCGATTTAATTACATTTAAAGACATAAACCAAATATAACACAAATAAGAGTAGTATTTGTGACTCAAACCATTGGCACAATCATTGACAGCATATACTCTAACTATTGAATTGGATTTCTATTGAAACAATCGGTGAAAAACTTGTGATAAACTAATTGTCAAACAAATCAGTCATTTAATGGCGTTAACAGCGAGACAGGTGTTGACACTATTGGGCAGTTGTCTCCTTCATCTGATGGTCGGCTCTTGGAATACGTTTGGAAACCTAAACACTTATCTGACATCATATTTACGACAAAACGGCTCAAAAGAGGCCAACTATGGCCAGAGTGTATGGTATACACCGGTCGCTGTGACCGCCTTCACATCGTTTACCATAATTAGCGGTTTAATTGTCAACAGAATCGGCACAAGAATCACATGTCTTTTGGCTTCACTAATCTATTGGTGAATTTTGAATACAAAAATATGTCTCAATTGAAATGTTAATTGATTTTTTAATTTTGTTGTCAAAACAGCGGTTCAGTAGCGCTCACATCGATTACTGTGAAGAAGTCATTTCTAATGGTTTTGATGAGCTATGGATTTATGCCAAATATGGCCAACGGATTGCTGTACTCATCAGTGATTGTCAATTGCATCAAATGGTTCCCCAATAATAAAGGTCTGGTGACAGGTGTGGTCACTGGTGTCAACGCTTTCAGCCCTTTTATCTTCATTCAATTTCAAACATTTTATTTAAATCCAAATAATGTGAAACCAAATCGTGACGGGTATTATACAGTACACTGTATGCAGCAAATGGTTGTTATAATGATTGTTTGATTGTATAGATATTTTGAAGACACACAAATGTTATCAAAAGTTCCGCAACTATTTATCATATTGAGTGCAATCTATGGTGTGATGGGTTTGATAGGCATTTGCCTAACATTTGACTACAAAGACTCGCATCCAATGCCATTGGTTGAAACCGATGCCAACGATAACCCTATGAGCACATCAATGGTTAACACCGCGATTGTTTCCGAAGACAATGAGGTTCTTGTGGTGACACCGTCTACATCGCCACACCATTACTCTGTCGGACAAAATCATTATACTATTCGGCGCGCTATAAGAACCCGATTCTTCTGGATGTTATGGTTTACATTCGCATTTAGTACACAATCTTCTTATTTTATTAACGCAATGATCAAAGCTTTTGGCCAAAGCTATATCAATGACGACCACTATTTAGCGGTTGTCCTCTCACTCTCTTATATTATCAATGGAATCGGAGGTGTCTTTTGGGGCAAAGTGTTGGATGTCTTGAAGTTTAGAGTAAATGATTTATATTGTCTTATATTTGTAAGCATTTTACTAATGATTTATTGTGTTATAATTTAGGATACAATTATAGCGATTAACTCGATTACAGCGATTTGTACTTTTTCGCTCATAATATCGAGTTATGTGTACCAAAAATTATTGTTTGTAATTTGGGATTTTGTCCTCTTCTTCACAATGGTTGGCGTCTTCGCCGCGTATTTGCCAGAAGTCGTCCGTAAGTTTGGCGACAGGAATGCCATCGCTATCTATGGGATCGTACACACAGGCCCTGTAAGTGAATGCCATTTAACTTTTGTATATATTTATACAGTAATTATACAATTTATTGTTTAGGTATTCGTGAGCTTAGCTCTGAGTCCAGTCCTAGAATTATGTCTTAACAGTTTCGGTTGGTTTCCAACCTTCTGTACTGTCGGCGCGTTTAATACCTTAGGTTTGTGTTTATATTGAATTTTAATTATTGTAACTAATAATCCATTTCTTACATTAGGTATGATTATTATAATGGTTTCGTATTCGCGACTAAAATAATATTTAAAGCGATTATATGCCAAAAGAATTCAATAACCCGTTGATTAACAT